AACCTTTCTATAACAAATGTTCATTTCTACACCCTTCATATAATTTCCTTTTTAATTCTCTATTCTTGATGTTTAAAGCTTATATAAGCTTTCCTTAAGCTTATATAATACTCAAAGAATCAAAATCAATTTATAAATCCAAGAATTAAACAGCTGAAATTAAACTCACCTTTGCTCAACACGTTGGAGAAGAAGAAAGCAAGAAGAAGAAGAGTTTTCCAGATACTCCTCCCCCCACGTGTTTATCTCTTCTTAAAGAGTGAAAAAATATCTTTTATGACAAATGACCACTTTGCCCTTAATTCCTTTAATAATTACTAACAACTTTCTGGAAATATTCCCAAATAAATCATTGAACTATTTCATTCTTCTACTTTAGTCACCAAATTCTGAAACTTTACAATCTGATCACTAACCCGGTATTGAGGATGTTACAATTTTCCTCATAATTTATGACAAATAATCGGCTACTCGAGGTAGTCAATGGTTAGGGTTTGTTCAAAAGATGATGTCGGAGCTACTAGTGACGGCGGTGAACACCACTGCTTGCTGAAGACAGGTGAACAAAGGGGAAATGAGAGTAGAAAATTAGGGCTAATTGAATTCTCTAAAACTCTAAATTTTGAGGTTTGGCTTCAACCTAAGGGAGCTTAATTTTTGGGGGTGACCAAAACCCTTATGAAATCGTGATTGATTGATGACGAATCGACTTTTTATATCCCACAAACCTTAGGATGAAAACTACAATTTCACATGATTTAAACGGTCAATTAATGACAACTACGACAGTGTATAATTAGGAGGAGACAGACTATGTTGGCGATAGTGGTCATGGTCGGAAAGAACAAAGACAACATGTTAAGATTAGCATTTGAGGATTTTATGATTATTTTATAATTTAAGATAAATTAAGTTTTTTTATAAATATAATAGTATTTTTAATCTTTAAAATATAAATTTTAAAATCATAAAATTATAACTCGTGTCATTTAATATATAAAATTAATAGAGTTGATGATCTAAATAATTTAAATAATAATATTTATAATATTAAACATATGAATAAATTAAAAAATAATTTAACAACTTGATCTAGAAAATAATATAGTTTGAATTTGATATTACGACTTTTGATTTCTCCAACTCCGATAATCAGTTTATTGATCCCAAAATGTCAATTCTTTTATAGAAAAAACGGTCTCCAAACAGTATACTTCATAATCAACTGATGTACGTTTGTACGGGAAAAGAGGGCCCAAGGAAATAAATAATGTATTTTTCGAAAAGCATGTCTGCCATTGATAAAATCGAAGCTGCAGATTTGGATTTGGTTGCTAGATTTAACCTTTAGTCAAAAGCATGCACCAGAGTCAACCTATGAATTCGAATTTGAGTTCCCAACGTCTCATATATCATTTTTTATAACTATTTATATCGATATGTTAATTAATTAATTTAAATTAAATATCGTAAAAAGTATTTTTATTAATCATATTTTAATTTTAAATAATATTGCATGCCCAGGTCACCCGCCTCACGTGCACCTGCAGCAGTTAGGGGTGAACAAAAAAATTCGAATATCCGATTTTGCGAAAAAAATATCCGAAACCGGATTTGGGAAAAATCGGTTTTTTTTTAACCGGATCGGATTTTTTTAAACCGGTTATTTTAACCGGTTTGGAGAAAAAAACCTAGACCGGTTTTTTTATCGGATAAAAAACCGGTTTGAAAAAAACCGGTTAAAAAACCGGTTTTTATCCAGGAAAAAAAACCGGTCTGGGTTTAAAAAACTAGCCGTTAATATAGCCGTTGGGGGGATTTTGTGACCGTTTTTGACCGTTTTTTTCTTTAAAAAATTATCATTTTACCACCCTAAACATGTATAAATAGGTTGGGGATGTATTTGGTTAATTACAAATTTCTCAAATCTTATTACACAACACTTAAACATCTCTCAAATCTTATTTTTGTAATTTTTTGTTCATCATGAGTAACACGGCTGAATCTTCCGTCGGGGGAAACTTGAAGTCGTGAGAAAGTTCGTGATTACAAAAGCATTGCCGTTCGACCACTTTGATGATGAAGATTTCACGATAACAATTCAACAACTAATGCAACCACGTTATACTCAAGTAAGTCGTACTACCCTTAGAAGAGATGCTATAAAATGTGGTGTACGGCGAGGGAAAAAATGATTTAGGATTCCAAGAACACCGTTATGTGTCGTTTACATGTGACGTTTGGAGTTCCTCTCATAATACCGGAAATTCTTTTTAGCCGTTACGTCACATTGGTTAGATCAAGATAATTGGCAAATAATGAAAAGAACAATCGCGTTTGAATTATTCGGTGAGCCGCATACCGGTGCTAATTTATTTACACTTTTAAAAAGGGTAATTTGTCTTTATAAATTAGAAAATAAAGTTTTTTCTATATCCTTTGATAATGCATCGAATAATACAAACGCGGTTCCAAGATTGAAAATATTACTTTCACCGATTTTAGACGGTGCGTTTTTTCATACCCGTTGCGTTGCACACATATTAATTTATCCATGCAAGCCGGTTTGGAGGTTATTGAGCCGATTAGATTAGAATTTAAAACAATGATAAAATCGGTTCTTTGTAACAACAACAAAAGACTAAATGATTATAAACGATTTTGTAAGTCCGTTAATAAAAAGCTTTGGGTCCTAATTTGGATTGTCCAACTCGTTGGAACTCAACTTGGATGATGATGCATACTGCCTTAAGGCAAAGGGAAACATTGCAAACATTTCACGATCGGCTTTTCGAGAGGGGTCATGTCCCAAACATTTATCCGGATTTGAGTTGGGAAACTATAGCCAAAATAACCGATTTGCTTGAGGTTTTTAAAAATGCAACAACTTTTTTATCCGGTGTTTATTACCCTACTAGCCCGTTGGTTCTTAATCAATATTTTTGTTGGCTACCTGACTAAATGACTTTGAATTTGAAACCGAAGTTTTTCAAGAAATTGGCTTTGCAATGAAGGAAAAACTTTTAAAATATTTTAAGGAGATTCCCCCCATTTTTACTTGTGCCGCCGCTTTAAACCCAACGTTAATGTTGGTGGGGTTGAAACACTAATTGAACAAATTGCGTTTGCTTTTAATCTAACCGATGATGACCCAACTTTGTCCAAAACCAAATAAATTATTTTAACAATGTTTTCGAGACATGTTTGCAATTTATTTAACTAAATACGGATCAAGTAGTATACCCTATCAAATGAGAATGAATGTGGAATCATCTAGTAGACGTCCAGTAACATAAATTTGAATCTTTTTAACACTCTTGTAAATTCCCAATCCAAACGATCACGTACTACCACCCCCAAGTAGCGAGTTGGGAAATTACATGTCATGTGATTTTCTATCAAAAATGACATTTGAAGAGTTTGAAAGTTTGGATATTTTGGCTTGGTGGAAAGAAAAGGAAGCACAATTTCCGATTCTAGCCGCCATGGCCCGTGATTTACTAACCGTCCAAGATTCTACGGTAGCTTCGGAATCCGCTTTTTCTGTTAGGGCAGGGTTATAATCGCAACGGAGATCAAGACTAAGTCCCGAGTCGGTGGAAGTATGCATTTGTTTAAAGGATTATTTGGATGGAGCGGCTCGTAAGCAACATATCACCACCCTAGAAGATGCAATTGATGCCGATTTGGAAGCAAACTTACACATTGAAGAAGTCGAACTTGGAATATCCCCTCTAAACGAAAAAGGCGAAGATGATGAAGAAGATATGGCAATGTAGTTTATTTTATAACTTTATTTCAATTATCGTAAACTTTGTTTCAATTATCGAACTTGAAGTTTTTAAGTATTTGAATTTATCGAACTTGGAAGTTTTTAGTATTTGAATTTATCAAACTTGGAAGTATTTAAGTATTTCAATTATGTTGAGTTAATTAAGTATTTCAATTAAGTATTTGAATTTATCGACTTGAGGTTTGATGCTTTCTCTTTGATTCTCTCTTGATTCTAGTTGCTTGATGTTTCTTGTCTTTGATCAATGGCTTCTAAGCTTGCTTAAATACACCTTGAATCACTTCTGAACGTTAGTGATAATTAATGAAGATAATATAGCCGTTTAAGTGTGAAAACATTTAATAAAAATGCTTCGAGCGTGGGGGAATCGGTACCCTCTCATAGGGAATCGGTTTCCTCTCATAGGGAATCGGTTCCCTAAGTGTAAAATTCAAATATTTCGACCGTTGAATATGGGGAATCGGTACCCCCTATGGGGAATCGGTTCCCTCCGAGCATTCTGGAAATCTCGGAGCCAAACCATTCAGTGAGGAATCGGTACCCCCTTAGGGGGGAATCGGTTCCCTATGAGCAATCTGGAATATTAAAATCGGTTTTTTTATAACCGGTTTTTTTAAAAAACCGATTTTTTTAAAACCGAAACCGGTTACACCGGTTAGGATATCCGGCCCTCCAAACCGGTTAAAAACCGAACCGGTTATTTTATAAACCAATTTTTTTTCTATGAGAAAAAATCGGATCGGATAAAAACCGATCCGGATCGGATTGAAATCCGACAAATGTGCACATCTACCTGCAGCTTTCAACATTTCCCTCTCTATTAATGTCATTTTTTTTCTAATTTAGAATGATTACATGTGGCGATAGGTTGTAATATTTATTTTAAAATTCTTAATTATTTATCAATAAATATTTAAATATCATGTTATTATCAATACTCTAACTTAAATTTTTAAAATTAATATTCATTCATTTAATCATTAAAATACTCTAACTCATACATCTGTCGGTAAATTTTGCTATATTGCATATTTATGCGTGCCCCATAATCAAACTTCCAAAAATTAAAATACAGTTTTATTGCATATTTATACTATTATAAGATTGCCTAAGCTACCTTATAAACCTTCTAATCTAGGCATCTAACTCCACTCGCTCCTATCGATTTTCATTTTTTGCAACAAATTTATCGGTAAAGTAAAAAAAAAAGAGAAAACTCCGATGGTCGTATAGTAAGCTCAATCCACGATCCGACGACTAGAGATAATCTTCAACGGAAATGCTCAAACCCTCTAGTTCTCTTCCTTCACTTCTTTCCCAAGAGCCGCCGCTAGCATCGTTCGCATTCGCCATCATTTCATTGTTGACTGAGCCGTTGGCGCTAGTCATCTGGTCGTCGATTGCCATACCAGCATCCGTCGCCGCTTTCTGAACAGACTTCGGCGACATGTCTGGATTAACATACGGAGGTAACAACGAAGGGAAGTTGAGAGCGGTTAAGGAGGACGGTCGACGGAGGCAATAGAAAGCAACGTCGTGGGCAACAGCAGCAGCTTCCGGAGTCGAATAAGACCCTAACCAGAGGCGTCCTTCGGTGCCGGGAACTCGGATTTCCGACACCCATTTCCCCCATCTTCGAGGACGCACTCCCTTATATTTCTTTTCATCGGAGACACTTCTTCCGCCGGCACTCATTGTAGCAAAGTAGATGGCAGATAAAAAAGGGTTAATGGAGTTTGAAGAAAAGGGGATGGAAAGCTGAGGTTATATAGGTTGAAAAGGACAAAGTCAAAAAGGGGAGTTTTAAGGTAGAAGATGAAGATTAAAGGGGAAGTCAAAGATGACAAGCAAGGTCAGAGTAAAAATGGACGGTGCCATCCAGAAGAACTGTGAGTATTGGTGTTGATGATGGGTCAAGTAGTGTCAGATTGTATATGTACTTTAAAATTTCTGTAATAGCTTAGGTCGGTTCATGGGAAAAGGGTTTTAATATTTGGGTAAATCACAGTGTTATTATTGATAATGTATCATTTGATCATGGGAGAAACCGGAAGGTAATAAATTAGCTTCTTTTGAAACATGTAGAAAAGTCATTGATTAATTAATATATTTAATTAATGCGAAGATGAGGTGTCTTAATTGATTTGGATAATTGAGATTTTGACTAAACATATTGACCTTGAATTTGGAAAAAGCTTTTACAAAATTGTTCATCACATGTACTTTTATGGATTTATCCAAATCATATACACGAAGACTTCAAGACAGAATTGTGGAAGTAAAAAAATGTGAAAATTCATCTGCATAAACATATTTCATTGCACAGATTGATTATAGATTATCATATACACGGACCATTGCCCTCTTGTGCTAAAACCTCATAGTAACATAAGTTTTCAGTCGACTCGACCATTTCGCTTTATTGCGGCTTGGCAGGATCACCCTCAATTCAAGGATTTTTTGTCGGAAGTTTGGAGGAATGATTTGGATGCGCTAACTAACGTCAATTCCTTCCAAAGTAAAGCTAGTGAATGGAATTTGAATGTGTTTGGGCACATAGGGAGGAAAAAAACGCGAACTATTGGCTCGGTTACGGGGTATTGATAGAGCGCTTATTACTCGATATTCGCAACGTTTGGTGGACTTGCAACACGTGCTGGAGTATGAACTAGAACAAGTCCTTCAATAAGAGGAGAGTTTGTGGCTGCAAAAATCGAGAACTCAATGGGTTCTTCATGGTGACAAAAACACTAAATATTTCTACGCTTGTACGATGATGAGACGTAGGAGTAATCATGTGGGGGCGCTTAAGGACATGAATGGTAACTGGGTGTCGGAGCAGGCCACTCTTTGCTCGATGGAAGTGAATTTCTATAAGGATTTATTCACTAGTAGTAATGAAGTTGATTATGGATATCCGTTTCAGGGATGTTTTCCTGTTCTTTCTAATTCCGAATTAAATGGACTCATACGACCGCTACTTAATGAAGAGATCCGTGAAGTCTTATTTAGTATGAGTCCGTTAAAAGCTCCGGGAGTGGATGGACTACATGCGATTTTTTTCCAGCGGAATTGGGATACGGTTAGCACCAGCGTATGTCAGTTGATTCAAAGTATTTTTGCAGGAAAAGCGTTCGATAAGGATTTCAATCGAACACTCCTGGTTCTAATTCCTAAAGTTAAAGTTCCCGAATCCTTCAGTCAATATCGACCTATTAGCTTGTGCTCTGTGTTATACAAACTTGTTACAAAGATAATTGTGAATAGGCTGAAATCTTTTATGAAATTTTGGATATCGGAAAACCAAACAAGCTTTGTTCCTGAACGTTCGATCATGGATAATGTTATTATAGCACAAGAGGTAATTCACTCTATGTGATTGAAGAAAGGTAAGGTTGGTTTTATGGCTATCAAGATCGATCTTGAGAAAGCCTATGACCGCCTTGAGTGGTTATTTGTTGAGGACACGTTAAAAGAGTTGCATATTCCAGAGAGAATCTTAGGAGACTTATCATGAGATGTGTTTCTTCAGTCTCGACGCATGTAATTTGGAATGGTGCTATGTCTGAATCCTTTAAGCCAACCAGGGGGTTACGATAGGGTGATCCTTTATCGCCTTATTTGTTCGTTATGTGCATGGAGAGGTTGGCTCATGCAATCTCTATAGCTGTCAGGAATGGACAGTGGAAACCTATCCGACTGTGCCGCAGTGGTCCTGATATTTCTCATCTATTTTTCGCGGATGATTTGGTCCTGTTTGCTGAGGCGTCTATTGAGCAATGTTCTGTAATAAGGAGCATTATGGATCTTTTCTGCAGGTTCTCAGGTCAGAAAATAAACATGTAAAAAACAACTATTTTTTATTCTAAGAATGTGGATTCGGGTTTGAAGAGTTCAATTAGCTCATTATTTGGATTCCAGGAAGTTCAAAACTTGGGTAAGTATCTCGGAGTACCTCTGCTTCACTCTCGGGTTACGAGATCTTCGTTTAGTCACATAATTTCGAGAGTCTGAGATAAACTCACAGGATGGAAGGCGAAATCTTTATCTTTGGCCGGGAGGATTACTTTGGCTAAAGCAGTATTATCGACTATTCCTTTCTATTCAATGCAATCTATGAAGCTTCCGAAAGGGATTTGTGATGACTTAGAACGAATAATCTGGGGTTTTATCTAGGGTCGGACTGAGGCGAGAAACGGCATATCTCTTGTTAATTGGGAGAATGTTTGTAAACCGATAAGCAATGGTGGGCTTGGCATGAAAAAGCTAATCGATCAAAATGATTTTAAATTAGCTTTTAAATTGGCAACAAACTCCGACCATCTATGGATTAAAGTATTACGATCCAAGTATAGGTGGAAGAATGATTTACCTGATTCAATTGACAGCAAGAGAAGCTCACATGCTTGGAAAGGAATCTCTCACGTGTGGAGCGAGGTGCGACAGAGTTTGGTTTGGAATATTGGTAACGGGTGTAGGGTGGACTTTTGGGGGGATCCTTGGCTTAGTGATGTGGGGCCTTTACATATGCTTGTAGATAATCAAGTGGAGAGATTCGCACTACAAAGGAGGACGATGGGCTCTATGGTTGATACTAATGGTCAATGGCGATGGGAGTTGATATCTAATTTAGCACCAGACAGTATTCAACAGCGGCTTGCAGCAACAATGCCACCACGAAAAGATAATAGGAACGATGCGTTAGGCTGGAAATGGACCGTTGATCACTGCTTTTCGGTTAAATCAGCGTATGAAAGGAGACAGGTAACTCCGGATACTAGCCCACATAAAGTTTGGAAGGTGATCTCGAAATATAGAGGGTTGCAACGGATTAAAGTCTTTTTGTGGTTAGTAGCTAATGAACGTTTATTAACCAATACGAAACGAGTCAGACGACACTTAACATCAAGCAACTGCTGTGGAGTATGCGGACAGCAGGGGGAGACTATAGATCATTTATTTCGAACATGCCATGCGGCCTTGACTGTTTGGATAACGTTAATTAAAGCTGAAAAATTAGATGAGTTTCTGTCCAGGGATATACGAGATTGGTTGCAGATTAATATTGCTAATCCGGGAATCTATGCACGGGATGACTGTGACTGGGACTTACTTTTCAGTTCGATACTTTGGTTGATTTGGAAGAACCGTAATAGGAGAATTTTCGATCCGGATTACATCGAACATGAGTCGATATTAGCACAAGGTAGGCGTCTTTGTTTTGAGGCTAGGCGAGCAATTGAAACAAATTTGCAAATGAATCCGTATTCGTTTCAAAGGATTAGTGTGCCTAATAATTGGACTCCGCCTCCTACTAATTAGTGCAAGGTAAATACTGATGGCTCCCGTAAACTAGGAAATGGATTTGCTACGTGTGGGGGCGTTATTCGATCTTCGAACGGTGGATGGATTCTTGGTTTCTCTAAAGTACTAGGTATATGCTCTATCGTTGAAGCAGAGTTATGGGGAATACATGAAGGTCTCTCACATGTGTGGAATCTTGGCGAAAGACAAATTATGGTTGAAGCGGACAACTCATTCGGATGCTTAAAGGAAAGACTAATAAAGGATCAGTTTTTACTTTGCTCGATCGGGTTAATGAGTTATTAAAGCAGGAATGGACGGTTACTTTGAGGCATATAAATCGGGATGTGAACAAGGTGACCGATAAACTAGCCAATTTAGCCATAGTAAGAGGCTCGGATCATACGGTTTTCTACTCTCCACCTTTGGAAGTACTTAGCTTGTTACAACAGGACTCATGTGCTTGTAATTTGATAGAAGAACATTGAGTGTTAGCTCCCTCTTTATTTCATAAAAAAAAATTCTAGATCAATATACAAATATCCAAAGGATTCAAGTGTTATTGACTTGTAAAATTTATAAAAGCAACCTGGTGTAATTACCAAAATAATCTCGTACCGTATCGTAAAACTTCGCCCTTTTTAGTCAAGAGACTATAACGAAACTTTCCTAATATACAGATATTGATCGTCACGTTCGTTTCGTTCACTGTACTCCAACATCTGTTCTCCTATTGCTATATGAGCCATACCTAACAATAAAACAATGGATATTTTCTATAAGCTTCAATTCTAAAATATTTTTTTCTGAACTATCTGCTTAAAAGCAGTAAAAATCTGGGGTTTAAAGGCCAACCCAATGTCTCTTTAAATGTTCACGATTACAATAGTAATGGGGGGGGGGCGAACTGGGTAAGCTTGGCGTTGAGCAAGCCCTCAGTGTAAGCGCCTTCAGCGGCGAACGATTCTCAATTGCGAAAACCTCATCCTTATACCAAAGCAACAGGATGTTATCCCCGTCTTGTATGATCACACGCCGCTCTCCCTTCGGCAGCGCGGCAAGCGGGACCACCGGCACCCAGTTCTCACCACCAGAAACTCCGCCCGATGCCGCTGATTGTTCCCTCACGGGAGGCATTTCCGTCGCTTTGCAAGTGATTCTACTGCTGCCGCTGCATTGTTTAATGGAGAGGCTGTAGGTAGTAGAAAGAGGATCGTCGGGAGAGAGGATAATGGGAGGCGGAGATGGGGGATTCCGGCAGCGGCGGAGGACGGGAGTGGGGGTGAAATTGTAATGGTGGTGGAAAGCGGTGGCCATTGCAAAGCGGCTGAGGATCGTTGTACTTACGTTGCCTCTAGGGAAGATTCCCATTGGCTGCAAGTGGGTGTATAAGATTAAATTCTGGGCTGCATAA